TTTTCTACAAAGCTGCATGTATATCGAGCAGTGGTCCTCCCCACCCTGCTATATGGCAGTGAGACATGGGTCACATACAGGAGGCACCTCAAGGCACTTGAAAACTTTCACCAACGTAGTCTACCTTCCATCCTCCGAGTTTGTTGGGAAGACAAGAGAACAAATGCCAGTATTCTTGCTGACACCAACTGGACTGCCAAAGCAGTTACTTTACAGTCACCTAACGAATAGTAAACGTAACGCCGGTGGGCAACTGGAAAGGTATAAGGATAGTCTTAAGACAAACTGCAAAAAGGGCCAAATCGACCCCCTCACCTGGGAGTCGATTACTCCACGTCGTAACGCTTGGAGGAGCACCACACGAGAAGGTGTCAATACTTTTGAGTTAGCCCGACTGCAAACCGAGGCAGACAAGCGCCAACGCCGGACAGACGCTGCCACCGCTCCTCCCGCACTCGATGCAGCCCTTCACATGTGCAACGAATGTGGACTACCCTCCGGGTCTCGTATCGGCCTCTTTAGTCACCGCAAACCTCACCAACCTACAGTAGGTGACATCCTTAATAACTCATATCATTGTACCACAGCTGGATGATCGTCATACTCGATTCCGAGTGACAGCAAAGTAGTAGTAAGAAGTAGTGAGTGTGTGTGTGTGTCTGTCCGTGTCTGTCTGTCTGTGTGTGTCTCTTTGATTCTGTATTGATCTTGTCCTTTGCCTGTGTCTGTCTCTCTCTGTCTTTCTGTGTGTGTGTGTGTGTGTGTGTGTGTGTGTGTGTGTGTGTGTGTGTGTCTGAGAGTATTTTTCGGTCAAAGATGAGGAGCATGATGCAGATAATGGGATAGATGTGTCTCTGTGTATGCTGACTGAGAGAGAGAGAGAGAGAGAGAGAGAGAGAGAGAGAGAGAGAGAGAGAGAGAGAGAGAGAGAGTTATGGCAGGTAAGGAAGCACACAGGTACACTGATGGTGGTGGTGGTATTTCATTAAGGTAACAAGACCAGGTGATGCTGGTTTGTGATCTATCCCACGTTGTTGTTATGATGGTTGTTGTAATAGTTGTTGCTGAAGTTGTTATTGGTGTAGTTGTTGTTGTGGTAGTTGTTATTGGTGTAGTTGTTGTTGTGGTAGTTGTTATTGGTGTAGTTGTTGTTGTGGTAGTTGTTATTGGTGTAGTTGTTGTTGTGGTAGTTGTTATTGGTGTAGTTGTTGTAGTATTAGTAGTTGCTGTATATGGGTAATTGGCGGTGTTACGGCAATTTATTGGTGCTTAAGGGTTGTTATGGTAATTTAATGAGTTAAAGGTAATTATGGGTAATTAAGGGGTTTAAGGGTAATTAAGGTAAAAATTAAGGGTGTTTAAAGGTAATTAAGGGTAATTAAGGGTGTTTAAGGTTAATTTTAGGGAGTTTAATGGTAATTTAAGGGTGTTTAAAGGTAATTAAGGGTAATTTAAGGGTGTTTAAGGGTAATTTTAGGGTATTTGAAGCTAATTAAGGGTGTTTAAGAATAATTTAAGGGTGTTTAAGGGAAATTTAAGGGTGTTTAAGGATAATTAGGCATGTTTAAGGGTAACCATCTGTGGTGAATGGGCAGCTGGACTAATGACTGGCAGGTGGTTCATGTTTAGTATTAAAGTCTGCCATTTTTCACCTCTTCCTCTCCTCTTTCTCCTCTCCTTCTCTTTTATCCCCTTCCTCCCTCTTCTCTTCCATTACAACCACGTCTCCTCCTCCTCCTCTACCAACACCTCTTCCTGCTTCTCCTCCTCCTCCTCCTCTTCCTCCTCCCCATCCTCCTCCTCTCCAGATATTATGATGAGGAAGAATAAAGAGGAAGAGAAGTAAACAGAAGGAGAGTGAATAACCCTGACCCACCACGCCCAAACACTCCCGCCCTCACCCCTGCCGCCCATACCCCTAACCCACACTCCAGCCGCTCCACACCCTTGCTGCCCATGACCCCGCCACTCACACCCCCCCCACTCACACCCACGCCACCCACGCCCACCAAGACACTGAAGACGCTTGAGGATAGGGGTGGGGGGGTAGGTGGTGGAGGTGAGAATGGCACCTGTGTGTGTGACGTGCACCATTTATGGCACAATGGCACCTGAGCCCCTCACAGCCCCCATTGTCCTCCCCCCTTCCCCCTCCTCCCTCCCTTCCTCTCTCTACCACCTCCTCCTCCTGTCCTTCTCTACCACTTCTCCTCACAACATTGGCACCATCAACCATACACACACACACACATACACACACACACACACACACATACACCACACACACACACACACATACATACCACACACACACACACACACACACACACACACACACACACACACACACACACACACACCACACACACACACACACACACCACACACACACACACACACACACACACAGTGACTGGGGAAAGGATAGTGAAAATGTATTCCTTGATATATATTTAGTGAGGGAGTCGTCGACAAGTGTATTGTGTGCCGGAGATTTGTGGCGCTGGCGATAGAAATGTGTACGGAGATGGAAATACCGAGATAACGACGGTGAGAGAGCGGGGAGGGGTGAGGTATGCTAGGTCTTGGTGAGAGAGAGAGAGAGAGAGAGAGAGAGAGAGAGAGAGAGAGAGAGAGAGCCACACACACACACACACACTTCAGATTGAGTGACAGGAAGACAAAGGGAGATAGTATCTTTAGAGAAAAAGTGAGCTAGAGAGGGGGAGAGAAATGGGGAAATACACACACATACACACACACACACACACACACACACACACACACACACACACACACACACACACACAAGATAATAAATAGACAGACAGACAGACAGATATAAACAGTATAACACGTATAAGAGACAGTACTGTATGTGCATTTAGCATCACCTGAGGATTAGGTTAGTTCTCATCAAGGAATGGAGGTCTGAGTTGCTGGCATAGAGATTACTATCGTCTGCAAATAAGTTGTATTTTATGAGTGAGCTGGCGTGGACTATGTCGTTTATGTACAACAAAAACAGTACTGGACCGAGAATGGAACCTTGGGGGACTCCATACAAGATTGGCGAGGAGTCAGATTGGTGGTTATTATAACAGACATACTGCTTCCTGTTGGACAGATATGAGGTAAACCAATTGTGGGACAGGCCCCTAACGCCGTAATGTTCAAGATTTGACAGGAGGATGGTATGGTCGACAGTATCGAAGGCTTTAGAGAGGTTCAGGAATATACCGACTGTGAACTGACTGTCATCAGAGGAATTTCATATGTTATTAGTAAAGGATAGCAGAGCACTCTCAATCGACCTTCTAGCTCTAAATCCAAACTGGGAGTCTGTAAAGATGTTATTGACACTGCAGAAGGAATTTAGTCTACTACACGCTAGCTTCTCCAGTATCTTACTCAAGGCTGGGAGGACTGATATGGGGCGGTAATTCTTGAAGAGACCTTTGTCCCCAGATTTTTTATATGCTGGGTGAACTTTAGCAATTTTCAGTTTATCAGGAAAGACACCACTAGTGAAGGAGGAGTTACAAATGTGGAGGAGAACAGGTAGTAATAAGTGGGCTACTTTCTTAATGATGCTCATTGGTATATTGTCTTCGCCTGCTGCTGCATCTTTGGACATTTTTATGATGGCCAGTAATTCATCTGCTGTGACAGGGGATAAGAATAGCTCATTTTGCTGTTTGTTTTGCAGGTAGGCTCTAAATTCCTCATGGTGATCACGGATGCTCTCTGCAAGATTTTTGCCAACATTAATAAAATATTCATTGAAGTGGTTGGCAATGGGGGAGGGTTCCGTTACAACTGAATCATTTATCATAAAAGCTGAGTGGGGGGCCGAAGGCTGAGTGTTCCTGTTCTAATTAGAATTTATGACATTCCAGGTTTTCTTACTGTCGCCTGATGCTGACTGGAGCTTATTTGTATAATAGCTTCGTCTGGCATTTCTAACTGCTTGAGTTACTCTATTTCTGATACTTCGGTAAGCATCACCGAAAGTTATGGGTCTTTTTGCAAATTTCCTTTGGAGTTTGTGTTTTTCTTTTATCATTATCTTAACTTCACTTGTGATATAAGGCTTGGAAATAGATACAGTTTTCACTGACTTAGTCTTGAGCGGGAAGCATTTACCAAAGCAAGCATTGAAGATGGAAGAGAAGTTACAGCTGTTCACGTTAGGGTTGTTGGAGGCATAGACAAGATCCCTCGTAGCATCCATTAAGTTGTATTAAAAACGGAGCATGTTGTCGGCGCAGTAGTCTCTGTATTGTACCGAGACTCTACTAGGCCTTTCAGGTCTTGTGGCTGTTTTATACATGACAAAAACTGGGAAGTGATCTGAGATATTGTTATAAATAATTCCACTTGCTAGGTTGTTAGGAGTGTTGTTAGTCCAGATATGATCTATCACAGTGGCAGAGGTGGCAGTTACTCTAGTGGGTTTGGTTATAGTGTTGAAGAAGAGTTTAGAATGACAGGTAGCAAGAAGGTCTAATACTGAGGTGTCGGTTTCTGATTTTAATAGACCAAGGTTGACATCTCCTGTAATGTAGCAAAGTTTCCTCTCTGAACTTATGATAGTGATAAGCTCCAAAAATTTATCAAGAAAATTCCTTACGTTAGTGTGGGGTCTTCTGTAGATTATTGCTACTAGAATATTTCGTGTGTCGTTATGGTAGTAAGGTCAGGTTAAGTTACGTAAGGTCAATTTCAGTTAGATTATGTCTAGGTTAGGCTAGGTTAGGTTAGGTTAGGATAGGTTGCGTTAGGTTAGGTTATGTTAGGTTAGGATAGGTTGCGTTAGGTTAGGTTATGTTAGGTTAGGTTATGTTAGGTTAGGTCATATTAGTTTCGTTATTATTGATGTGAAATAAGCTGGGGTGTTTAATCTTCAGGTGATCCATATATTCTCCTTTAACCAGTTGTAACAATATATATATAACTGTTCTTCAAGTTAATACATTTGTTCTCTCGTCCACAGGCAAGTCACTCGTGTTCTTCATGACGTCTGGCGTGAACACTTAGAACACCTCCTCCCTGTACACTTAACGGGTTTATAAGTGTACTTACTAGTACTACAATACGATTAAATGGTAAGTGGATGTCTGGCTATGAACTATGCTTACTTTTCACTTAACGATTATAAAGTACATACTGACACCTATTTATAAGTAACTATACAATTTAAGTAGAAATCTCACTAACACAGACCATCCTCACTTAACTTATACACTTAACAAGTATAAAACCACATATAGTAATACCTTTATAAGTAAATTAGAATTTTAAGTAGTATTTGGATCACTGTGTACAAAATTACTTACATCTTACTTATCTTACTTCAGGGATTAGATTACCTATACTTATGAAGGTAAGGTGTGTGTGTGTGTGTGTGTGTGTGTGTGTGTGTGTGTGTGTGTGTGTGTGTGTGTGTGTGTGTGTGTGTGTGTGTCTCACCCAGGTAAGTCATCACCTGCTTAATTAACAGAATTCAGATCCGTCTCATCGGGAAGGTCAGGCACCCGGGAGGTCTTGGTGTTGAAAGACGGTCTGGAGGGCGTGGGAGTGGCGTGTACGGCGTGGAGGAGGCGTGGGAGGGTAGCAGGAGTGTGGGAGTGGCGTGGAGGAGGCGTGTAAGAGGCGTGGGAGGGTAGCAGGAGTGTGGGAGGGGCGTGGAGGAGGCGTGTAAGAGGCGTGGGAGGGTAGCAGGAGTGTGGGAGTGGCGTGGAGGAGGCGTGTAAGAGGCGTGGGAAGGGACACAGAGGGAACATAACACGCCCGTATAAACGCTTACTTGCTCTTTGCATATACTGACTAAAATCTGCTATAAAAGGATAAAAATCGGGTAAAATCGGCCACGAAAGAGTTGAAATCGGGTAAAATCCCTCTTGTAGTGGGTTTCCGGGGCTGACTGGCAAGCAATCTTTGTCCCGTCCAGATTCCCACAGATTCTTACGATAATCTTGTTTATTCTCGTAGTGAGGATAAGAAAACACGTCTGGCTTGGGTATAGTCACAGTGCTATTATGCCGCCATCTTGAAGCCTCCATTTTTGGCTCCAGTTAAGATAAAATTGAAAATTAAAATAGGAACTTTTGAGAATCCATCTTAGTATAATAAGATAAATTAACATAAGATGATATTTTAACTTACGATTTTTGTTTTGTTTTTTATTATTTAACTTTTTATCGTAATTTAAGTCAGTATTTTCAGTGGGTTTTTTTTCTTTGTAAATATATATTTTTAACTAACGATATATTTAAATTCCATCAACATATCGTAACTTAAGTGAAAATAACAACTTAAGAGATTTTGAGAATGTGACGTAAGCAAAGTGAGCCAATTAGATGCCTTCTCGTTATATCCGGTTAAAAGGGACGCAAATAACCTTCGGATATTTTGTGTATTTTGATGACTAGTTATGTTTATTTAAAGGGTTGTTAAGGTGTGAATTACCTGCTGGTTTACCTTGGGCTCACGCATCCCGTTTTCTATACGCTTTGAAGAGGGGATGATTGTGTGTGAGGGTAATGAGGGAGAAGAGAGGAATGGAGATAATAAAGAGAAGGGTGAGAAAGGAAGGGAAAAGAGAGAGAGAGAGAGAGAGAGGAAGAAGGAGAGATGGGAGAGGACAAGAAAAGGAAAAAGCAAAGAGGAGGAGTGAGAGGGGGTGAGAGAGGAAAGGAATGGAGAGAAGGGAAAAGTGACAGACAGACAGACAGACAGACAGACAGACAGACAGACAGACAGACAGACAGAGAGAAAGAAAATGTCCTCAAAGAAAGAAAACGGATAAGGGTTGACGACCAGTAGGGGGGGGGGGTAACTAGCACAGGGGAATAATTACAGGTAGTTAGGAGCCAAAGTTAAAATGGCGGCCATTCATATATTCCGAGACGTTGAGAAAGGAACAACTAACTCCACCCAGATTTCTTATTCCTGTGAAAGAAAGAAAGAAAGAAAGAAAAGAAAAGAAAGAAAGAAAGAAAGAAAAAGTGTTAGAGATATTTTTTTTCATGATTTTTGTATTTATTTATACATACATACATACATACATACATAAAAAATACATACATAAATACATACATACATACATACATACATACATATACAAAAGTATGTACGTATGTGATGTTATACACTACATAAAGGAACATTACATAACACACAGTGGCTATCTATGGTGACGCTCACCATAGATAGTAGTGAAGATGTATAGTGAGGCGGAGTGGTGTCTGGGAGGGAGAGGGAGTGTCTGGGAGGGAGAGGGAGTGTCTGGGAGGGAGAGGGAGTGTCTGGGAGGGAGAGGGAGGTCTGGGAGGGAGAGGGAGTGTCTGGGAGGGAGGGGAGGTCTGGGAAGGAGAGGGAGGTCTGGGAGGGAGAGGGAGTGTCTGAGAGAGGGCAATGGAGAGGGATAGTGTGTGTGAGGGAGAGAAAGGGAGAAGGAGGGAGGGATGAGAGAGAGAGAGAGAGAGAGAGAGGTAAGATGCACCTCCAGGCCGTGTCACCAGGAGGCAGACACTAGGGAAGGGGGGGGTAGGGTCAGTTCACCTACCTGGCTCCACCACCACCTACCTGGCTCCACCACCACCTACCTGGCTCCACCACCACCTACCTGGCTCCACCACCACCTACCTGGCTCCACCATCACCTACCTGGCTCCACCATCACCTACCTGGCTCCACCACCACCTCACCTGGCTCCACCACCACCTACCTGGCTCCACCACCTACCTGGCTCCACCATCACCTACCTGGCTCCACCATCACCTACCTGGCTCCACCATCACCTACCTGGCTCCACCATCACCTACCTGGCTCCACCATCACCTACCTGGCTCCACCATCACCTAACTAGCTCCACCACCACCTACCTGGCTCCACCACCACCTACCTGGCTCCACCATCACCTACCTGGCTCCACCATCACCTACTGGCTCCACCATCACCTAATGGCCACCATCACTACTGGCTCCACCATCACCTGCTCCACCACCTACCTGGCTCCTACAGGTATCTGGCCTGCAAAATATACCTGGAGAACATTCCATCGTCTTCTCTTGTTCCTCTATTCAGCTGGTGTGTGAAGGGAAGGCTTTGTTCATCTGCCTACTGCCTCGAAACCTGCCACCCTGCTACCCTGCCACCTTGACACCTGCCACCTGACACCTGCCACCTGACACCCTGACACCTGCCACCACCGTGTACCCAACGGGAGAGTTGGATATAGAAGCACTTTTTGCATATTTTACTAATTTATATTCGTCCTCATTTAACTTTCCTAATAAAGAATTATGTACTTTGTTTTGTGTGTGTGTGTGTGTGTGTGTGTGTGTGTGTGTGTGTGTGTGTGTGTGTGTGTGTGTGTGTGTGTGTGTGTGTGTGTGTGTGTGAACGTATTTTTGCCATTTACGATAAAAAGTTAAAATTTTGTGAACTTTTGTGAATCCATCTTTTGGGGGTTCTTGCATCTTGACTTACGAGGATATTTTGTCGTAGGAGTCTTGAAGGATCTGGCCGGGGGTGTGGTAGGAGTCTTGAAGGATCTGGCCGGAAGTGTCGTAGGATCTTGCTGGGGAGGTGTGGTAGGAGTCTTGAAGGATCTGGCCGGAAGTGTCGTAGGATCTTGCTGGGGGGTGTGGTAGAGTCTTGAAGGTCTGGCCGGTGTGTAGGATCTTGTTGGGGGGTGGTAGGGTCTTGGGATCTGGGGATCTGGCGGGGTGTGGTAGGAGTCTTGAAGGATCTGGGTGTGTGGGATCTGTGGGGTGTAGGAGTCTAGGATCTGGGTTTGTCCGGGAGTGTCGTAGGAGCCTTGAAGGATCTGGCCGGGGGTGTGGTAGGAGTCTTGAAGGATCTGGCCGGAAATGTCATGTTTGCTGCTGACGGCGGAAGACGCGGACAGGAAGTAACGTATCGAACGACAGTGTGCCAGGAGAGAGAGAGAGAGAGAGAGAGAGAGAGAGAGAGAGAGAGAGAGAGAGAGAGAGAGAGAGAGAGAGAGAGAGAGAGAGAGAGAGAGAGATGCAGCCCGACAAACAAACCCACCTATATACCTGCATGATGACCCTGACCTTTGACCTATTGAACTGAAAATCATAACGACTCTAGAGGTAGTTATAGGTAACATATATACCAAATTTAAACACTGTAGTTCTTACCGTTCAGTAGTTATCACACGGACACTCTACATACTGACTGACTCACTCAACCTCTGACAGCACCTACCGCCCTACACACTCGACTTTTATCACTAATGACCCGTTACTGTATGACTGTAGGTATGAACGGTAAAAACAAACATATTAATTAGTAATATTTTTAACCGTAATACTAATAATTTTATGAGTTACTTTTAATTATAATTTATAAAACTCAGGTGAATTTTATTTTGTATTTTATTTTGCTTATCTGTTTATTTCTATTTGTCTGTTTCATTTACTGTTTTATTATTATTTATGTATTTTTATTTTTTTATCTAAGTAGAATATTTTCTGTATTTTCTTCTCATTAGTGTTGTATGACTTTCTGTCTGTATGCCTTGTCTGCCTGTCTGTCTGTCTATCTCTGTCTGTCTGTATGCCTTGTCTGTCTGTCTGTCTTTGTCTATCTCTGTCTGTCTGTCTGTCTCTGTCTGTCTGTCTGTCTGTCTGTACATTCGTCATCCAGGCAGCTCCAACACCAAGCCGCCATATTTCTTCTCTATTTAATTCCTCTGTTTATTTACCTTCAGTTAACCTCACCAACACTCTCCTTAATTGCCTTTGTTTTTGTGGCTGTGTTGATGAATGTTAGTCTAGCGGGTAAAGATGGCTGGCTGGGATTGGCTGAGGGAGATAGCTTTCTTCTGATTGGCTTGAATGTATGTAAACGGTGGTGTTGATTGGCTGAGGGAGATAGCTTTCTGATTGGTTTGAATGTATGTAAACGGTGGTGTTGATTGGCTGAGGGAGATAGCTTTCTTCTGATTGGTTTGAATGTATGTAAACAACGGTGCTGATTAGCTAAAGCTGGCTGTCTATATAGCTATTTATTTAACCTAACTTAACCTAACCTAACCAATGAGCTGTACCCTATAAATCTTGTGACCAATAGAA